CTGTTCTGATTTCACAAGAACGTTTATTCTAGGCACAAAATAATCGTGTTAAAATACAAGTAATGCTTTTGGTGTATAGATCATAAGCACAGCACCAGCCCCATCATATTGCTACGTAATGGAATCACAGACTAAACAACTGCTGTTCTCACAATTATATACATATGTATGCAAACAGCGTGAAAAAAACGAATTGTAGACGAAAAATGGGGGCCCAAATTTTGCTTTGTCACTATAAAACCAAACAATAAATGGTGTTTTGTTAATTAAGCCAGGAAACTTCAGTTCTTGGCTTTTTGATACGTTCTAAGAAATCCTTGTCCTCTATCTCTTCAGTGAGTAACAAGCCTGTGAAGAGGTCTGAACACAAGACTGTCTCAAGACTTTATTAAAAATACCAGCAGTAATCTGAAGGGAAGACAGTGATTTCAAATTGATGACGTACAGCCTCCATGACAGGAAAATGATTCTTCCTTCAGGAAAAAGACAGCGGATACCAAAAAGTTTTCCCCTCGACGCCCTAGAGGTACAAGAGGACGGATAAAGGATAAAGTATCAAAGTTTTAGACCAGGTTTTAATTTCTCTCCCCACCCCCCTCAACACATTATTCTGATCTGTCAATGGTTTAGCACATACAAGAGACAGGATAGGTCCCACACCCAACTGACTCGCTCACAGACACCATAATATACATATATGTATGTATATGTACAAATAAACTGGATATACATCTTTTGAAGGCACAATCTCACACCAACGTCCAGCTCTTCTGGTATGACAGAACCACAAAACTGCCGCAAGCTGGCAAAATGCCTTCTATTCATTCACAGCAGTTTCAAGAAAAATATGTTTTTTTGTCAGTATAACCCTTTAAAAATAGCGTTCTTCCGAAATTTGAGTTCTAGTCTAATGTATCCAAAAAGTAGTCACAGTTTCACTTTGATTTTTTCACACAAGTAGGGTAACTGATCTGGCTTTTGATTTAGCAAATGAACAATTTTGGCGCCAAAAGACACACACACACACACAAAAAGGCATTTTGTCAGCTCACAGCAGAAAAGACAACAGCAACACCAAGGCAAGGCACTAGAACGTACAGCAGTATGCCCATAGAACCATAGAATGGTCTTAGAAAAACAAAAAACAAAACATGCCACAGACACCAGAGAGAAGGCACTTAAAGGATTAGTTTTAGTAAGGTTTTACGGAGCTCGCAACTGCATAAGGTCATATGACTAAAGGAATGAGATGGGGGCACCTGAGAATGAGTTATTTGGGGACATAAGGGCTGCAGTTTTTGCTGTATGCTTCATTCCACTCTAACCATTACTGAGCCCTTTCTGCCAACAGACATGACTTTTTCCAGCAACCTTATAGCTCCAACTTTTTACTTTCCATTCATTATGCACAATAAAACGAGGTGACTAACAGAAAAAGGACCATTAGTATTAGCTGCCCCAGTTGTGGCGCACAAAATTACCAAAACACAAAACAACTTTATAAACAGTCATCAAAATACAGGCACTCAACAGCAGCATTCATTGACAGTATTTCCGTTTAGGTGACCAGAAACTCAAAACAATGCTCATTTAGTACAGGGATAAAAAAAAAAAAGACGAAATATGAGAAACATCATTGAGAGTAAAGAAATACATTTACATTGTACAGCACAAAGCTAAATCATGGACTACTCACAGGCACAGAAATCTCAAGAAATAATTTTTGTAATAATTTTACAGCACTTGCAACATAATAAGAATATATAAGCACTAAAGAAGAGAGGTGTTACAAGAGAGTAACTAACACAAAAAAGGACGAGAGATGAGGACAATAGATGTTTGACAGGAAAGAAAGAGCATTTAAAAGTCTAACTACCATTACAGTATTATAAAGAAATAACATGCACAGTATTAAATAGGAGCAAAAAAGAAATATAGTACATCTAAGACCCAGTGGTAAAAAATCTGAGTACATGATTTGTGCAAACTTCTGAACACGCATTGATCACCGGCACACAAAGCTATCTATGCTTAAGGCTACGGAGAAAGTGCTGTACACAAGCAAGGCAGACCAAAGAAAACAAAAGCATCAATCCCAGAGAAATAAAGCGTAGTTTTTTTTCACAATAGCAATACAGTCAGGTCCTAATAAACATAAATTGATCTTATAAACATAAATTGATCTTATTATGAATTTGTTCTGTATTCTGTATACGTAAAGAAAAAGTGACATCATTACTGTCGTATAGAGCAGGGAAATAGTCACACAAACTAATAGAAACACAAAGAAAGGAAAAAAATGGAGGTTAACACAAATCATCCCTGTTTTTTAGTTTTAGTAAGAGTTTTACGGCACTTGCAACACAATAAGGTCAGATAAGTGCCAAAGATTAGAGGTGTTACAAGAGAGTAACAAACACAAAAAAGAAGGAGGGGAGATAGAGACAATAGAATTTTTATAAGAAAGAAGGAGCAAACCACATCAGAGCACCCGCCAATCATCCAGAAACACAACCACTGACAGACGCAATAACATTTGCTAAATAAAGAGAAGGACATCAACACAACAATGGTCATAGAGTTTAGTAAAAAAAAAAAAAAATTAAGACAGACTGACAAAAACAATTGAAGGAAACTAAAAAGTGTCTGCCATTGACATCCCTAACTACCTACATAAGCAGAAAAAAAGGAGGCATTCACATTTGAAATGAGACAACAGACTTGGCTTGAGATAAGACAAACATTAATGAACTCATCAGATCTGTAATCAACTGAACACATTCTAATTTGATTTACGTCAACAATGTGTGGCCCTCATACGTTCTTGTCAATAACTATATATAACTTTACACCGGGAAAGCCTGCGTAGTTTTCCTTGACATATTGATAACTAGTGCACCATTATAACCTACAAACTGTTGACAACCAAAATAATCAGCTGATAAGGCATTATTGTCACTAGACAGTCATAACTGGTTGCTTCTGAGCACAAGGGGGTGATCCCAAAAAATGTGTTTTGAGAAAATCGAAGGTAAAGTTTTTGCCCCTTGTTCAGTTTCTTTAAAAAACAGGGAGAGTTTTCTTTCTAACCAAACAAATCTACACACCAGTGAAACCAAACTTTTTCTATAGGTAGGGCAATGCCCACTTTTGGTGTAGGTTAAGATTTCTGGAAACCCTGAAATCTGGGTTAGCCCGCTTGTCCTTAAAAGCGACCAAATGTCGTCAGTCAATAAAAAAAATATTCCATCTTGCTATTAAATCGCTGTGAAACTCGCTTCCACTGAATTTGGAATCAACAAAAACTTAGACCCAAAGGAAAAGAAACCAGATTTGTAAAGATTAATTAAAATCAACAAAATACCCTGTATTCCCTGAACATGTAAAAATAAGTAAACTCAAGATTCACTGAAGCTGCTTGCTGAGCATACACATGTCTCAGTATGTGCCAGGATCGGGAAAGGTTTATGCGATCAGTTTAGTGCATGTCTGTGCAACCAAACATATGAACGGCCACATCAGATCTAAGTTTTTTTAAAATAAGAGTTTTACGGCACTTGCAACACAATAAGGTCATATAAGTGCCGAAGATTAGAGGTGTAACAAGAGAGTAACAAACACAAAAAAGAAGGAGGGGAGATAAAGACGATAGATGTTTGATAGGAAAGAAGAAGCAAACCACACCAGAGCACCCGCTAACCACCCACTAAGAGCACCTCTTTTGATGTGACTAACATACAAAGTACTTTAATGAAGAGCAAAATATAATACTTAATATAATTCAAACGAGGAGCAGCATAGGCCTGCCAACAGAGACAGGAAATATATTAACAATTAACGTTATTAGTTTTAGTAGAGGTTTTACGGAGCTCGCAACTGCATAAGGTCATATGAGCGCCATAAGATTAGAGGTGTTACAAGAGAGTCACAAAAGTTAACGTTATGAGCTGGTCCTGTAAGTGTATAAGCTGAAAAGAGAAAATGAAATTTAACACAAGCACACAACAAACACACATAAAAGTAAACACATGCAAGTGAATACACACAGGCATACAAAAAACACACATGATTACACAAACACATACAAGTTACACACACAAATAAATACAAGAAAATGTACCCAAAAACATGACACAAATGGTGCCAAAAATACAAAAACATATAATCAAGTTAACACACACAAACACATACAAGTAAATAGACATTAACACATAGAACAAATACACACAAGTTAATTCACACAACAGAACCAGATTCTATTGTGACCCGGAGACGCACAGTAGAGTCTGAAATGAAACCCTGGAACCATTCGTGAGGGACGTTGACCAAGACCAAAGATAGTACATAACAAGATGGGCCACTCAGCCAAAAAAGTGTCCGCGCAAAGTTCGCTCTTTGCTTCAGATGGCGCTGCAGTCTGTTTTGAAGCTCTCTTTCGTGTTTCCAGAAGAAGAATAGGAATAGCACCTCCTTGCGTGCGCAGATCGACTGCTGTTCATCAGCAGTTCGGGTTCATTCAGTGTGGAGTTTTAGGTT